AAATATATAAAAATGTAACGGCGTGTGTCGAGATGGTGGTGGTGTCACGGTCCCGCTCCTCACCCGGTAGTGCGGCCGGGGGTTGTGCGTGGCCACCCGGGGTATCAGCTCGCTCATGTGCACCACGTCGTAGAGCAGGCCCTCCACCAGGCGGTAGAAGCCCTTCCGCGCCTCGTCGTCCAGCGACGGGTTGAACACAATGTCGGGGTCCTTGAGCTCCAGGTTCACCTGCAAGACAAGCGAGTCCCGGCAGAACGTTTTTCAGTCCCACGACAGTTGTATACATACGACGCACCTTTTGTTTCAGAGGCAAGTTTGTACATCTACAAATTTTAACAATCACTTATTTGATTTCAGCAGCGACTTACCTCGAACAGCGGCCGGCTCTCGTCCAGCGCCTTGTCCGGGTTCGTCTCCTCGAAGAAGACGCCGACGCTGCTCTGGACAGCCTGCGTGAGCTTGTCCAGCACCATGCCGTCGATGTACTCCAGGTACGCCATCCACTCGGATGAATAGGTCGGCTCCTCAGGCAGGCTCTGCACGACACCATCGACCACACCGAGACCACATTATGGTCACGAACAACACTCTCAGCAAACCGGAGAGGAATATGTCTTCAGACAAGGCAGGAAAGGGGGGGGGGGGTGCACTCACGGGCAGGATGTCCTCGGAGACGCTGAGGTCCAGGGACACGGTGGCTCCGCCGGAACTCATGGACGTGACTGTAGACTGGTTAACAGAAGAGAAACAATAAGCTCATTTAAACGACCCGAGAAGCGTTCAGAAGCCTGCAGTGAGTGGCGCGGCCGCGGCCTGGCAGCTCACCCGAATCGACTCCGTCTCGGAGCGCTTGGTGGCCGCGGACAGCAAGCCGCTCGCCGCGGACCCGCGCTCCGCCTGTGAGGACACAAAGGCACGGGCTGCACGCGCCGCGCGCGCCGCCTCCTTGGAGACCCCTAAGCTGATCGATGCACTCACGCTCTCGGTGGCCCCGGATGAGCCGACCTCGGCCTGCTCGGCGGGGGGCTTGGCGCCGCTGCCGCCGCTCTGGTTGCTGGCCGCCGCAGAGCCCGCCTGGCTGGTCCTTGCGGCCGCGCTGCCCTCCTCGCCACCGAGCCTTTCCACGGCCTCCTCGCCGTCCTCGGCGGCGCCCTCCGCGGCCCCGGTGGCCGAGCCAGTCGCGCTGCCGCCGACCTGCTCCGCCTCCTCCTCTCCCTCCTGCTCGACTGGCGCGGTCGAGGTCTGCGCCAGCGCATGCGGGGGCTCCTGGCCGCCGCCGTCCTCGGCCTGTCCGTCGCCGTCCTCGGCCCACGTGTCGAAGTCCCAGCCCTCGACGGCCTGCTCCTTCACCGCCTTGCGCCCGCCCATCTCGCTGTCCGAACTCCACAGCTCTTCCGAGGACTCGGAGCTCTCCTCCGAGGACGACTCTTCTTCCTCCTCCTCCTCGACGTGCTCCTCCTCTCCCTCCTCGTCCTCGTCGTAGCTCTCCCACTCCTCCTCGCCCTCGTCCCACGGGATCTCGTTGCCGTCGTCGTCGAAGCGCTTCTTGAGTCGCTTCTTGCGCGGCGGGGCCTCGGGCTCAGGCTCCTCCAGCGGCACGTTGTGGAACAGCTTGTAGTTTTCGTCCATCTTGAGGTGGATCTGATCGGCCGCGGCGCGCACCTCGGTGAACCTCTTGTTGACCCGGGTGGTGCGGTCGGCGAGGGCGAGCAGGCCGGCCTTCTCGTCCCGCTCGAACAGCGGGATGTGCGCGAAGTTGTCGAGCAGCCCCGTGATGTGCTCCACGTTCGCCTGCGCCTGCACCACGCGGCCGTGCAGCGCCCGGGTCAGGTCGCGGATGTTCTCCACGTACGGCCACACCCCTGGAAGCAGACCACCCGCCCGCTACTTACTCTGCATCTGCACTCGGGCGGCGTTCAAGCGGCCGGCGCGGCGTCCTCACCGTCTGACTTCCAGTTCAGCTTGTCTTGCACCTCCTGGATGTAGTTGTCGATGCCGTTCATCTCCTCCCTGATGAGGTCGAACTCCACGGGGATGCAGCGCTTGAGGATCTCGTTGTACCTGGCGTAGCGCATAACGGAGGACACGTGTGTTCGAAGGAAAGCGCTTACGAGAGGCGGAGATTAGGGCGATATTGCGAGGAGGGAAGTCCGACGGAGGTCATACCATTCCACGATGCGATTGAGAGTCGTAACCCAGAGGTGCAGCTCCTCGGAGCGATCAAACAGCTCCTTGGCCGGAGCGGGAACGTTGTCCAGGAGGTCCAGGAACTGCAGGTAGCGGCACTCGCGGAGGGCGGCGACGAGCTATCGGCACAACATGGACCAGTGAAGAGGTGTCTTGGCAGAGGCAGCAGGGGGGGGGGCTCACCTCGGGAGCGAAGTTAGTGCTGATGGTGTTGTCCTCGTGACGGGTGAGCAGGGTTTTGGCCAGGTTTGTGTTCACCTCGTTCGGGACGCGGGCGGCCCATTCCGAGTACAGCGAGTCCCACAACCCGTCCAACTTCTCCTTCATCTCGTCGTACTTGTGACGCACGTGCTCCATGTCGGGCGTCTCCACGATCCTGGAACACAAGGGCACGCGGTTAGTAATCTAAGGCCTTACTGATCTGCCATCAGGGAGAGGACGGTTTCTCACGGATTTTCCCATTCGCTGAAGAATTCCATGGGCGCTTGGATGCGGCAGCGTAACTTGTGCACGAAGGTCATTGCCCCCGCGGTGGGAGGAAAGTAGCAGTCCACGTCGTAGAACCCATTCTCTTCCTTTGCTTCGCGGTACTCATCAAATATCACCTGAGGGGCACGAATCAATTATTGGGAGCACTACTAGTTCTTTTGAAAACCATTACCACCACTCTACTTTACTATACGAACTTACTTTGACCACGTCCAGGTCTTTACTGTACACCTCCAGGACGCGTGGCATGCGCTCTTTCATGTCTTCTTTGGCTATGGATCGGTCCATAAGAGAGCCCGCTACCTGAATAAGCTTCGACAAGCTTTCGAAATTGGCACAGTCATCAAAAGCTTGAGTAATTATGGCTGCCAATCGCCCCTCCAAGTCTTTCATGTTATCCTTGAATACAACCTCATCCTTTTCAAAGGACCGGTCGTCAGGATTCAAGGGATCATACTCTATTTTTGTGAACCCACTAAATATGTTTTTGAACTCCTCAAAGAGCTCTTCTACTTTTTGACCAAGAATGCGTCCTTTCAAACCCCCAATCTCCACTTTCTCCAACTTTGAATATTCTACACCGGCATCAAAGACAGTCTACAGGGGGGAAAAATCACATTAGGCTGTGTATCAAACAACCTTAGGCGATGACGATTAAATATGAGGAATTCATTACCTGAACTTTTTCTAGCCTCTCTATGTATTGGTTGAGGCGCTCGAAAACTATTTTTGACTTAAAATTCCACATAACAGGCTCACTATTCTTAAAATATCCTGAGCCAAGATTTCCCCGCGATTCTTCAAATACTTCCCTAAAAAAAACAAAATTCAATCGTTAAAGGTGTAGAAAAAAGTAAATTTTACTTTGAAACTTAAATAGAGTATTACTTGAAGTTCTGAAGCGTCTCGATGCACATAGTGACCCGTTCTTGGGCTTCATCGAGTTCTCCTTGGAACAGTGAACTCGGATCCAAACAATCAGAAGACTACGCAGGAGTACAAGATAAATGTAATTAAAGACAAACATTATTAACAACATTTAAAGAATATTAATATGATGGTACTATGGTACCTGTCGGATGAGCTGGTTGCTGATCTCCTTGATGAGAAGTATGATCCTGGGTGAGGTACAATAGTAGCGCGAGTTTCCCCAAAGCAAGCAAACGGTGTGCATGACGGCCGGGAGCATCTCCGCCACGTCGGGGAATTCCAAGGTGCCGATATGCTCCATCAGCTCCTCCACCGGCTTGATGTACACGCATATGTCGCGAACCTCCGTTAGTGCTGGGTGAAGCAATAAACTAAATGGGTTGCCAGATCTAAATAATAAGCCCATGTAAGAATTGCACTTTCTGAAGGGCGTTTAACAGAAAGTACGTCGAATGAATGAATGAATGAATGAATGAATGAATGAATGAATGAATGAATGAATGAATGAATGAATGAATGAATGAATGAATGAATGAATGAACGGATGGATGGATGGATGGATGGATGGATGGATGGATGGATGGATGGATGGATGGATGGATGGATGACACAACAGCACATTCGGCACTACATAACCACGAGTGGAGACGGGGCACGGGGTGAACCACCTGATATGTTGAGTGTGTCACGTTGGTCATTTCGCGTTAACTTGAGCACGTACCTGCCACGACGTTCCGAAAAAGGGTCTTGAAGCAAGGGAAGTACGCCGACTCGGTCAGTTCTAGGATCTCCCCCATCCTCTTGACGCGCGGGTCCCGCAGCTGGTTGTAAATGCCCTCCAGGTTCAGCCGCCGCTCCGTCCAGAACTTGACCTCTGCACAGACACAGGGACGTCAGCGTGGTCGCCAGCCCGCACAGGGCGCGCGCCGCCGGGCACAGAGCTCACCTTCCCTGGGCTCCGGATTGCAGTCCATGGTGAACGCCGTGGAGGGGTCCTCCGAGAGCACCTGGCTGATCTGGGACGCCCACTTGATGACCACGCCCTCGATCGAGGACTTGAGATGGACGTCCACCGTCTGGCCATTACTGCCGTGTCACACAGACAACTCAGTGCCGCTCCAAACTCACGCGGCGCGGTGCTCGAGCAGCGACTCCCTACATTGCCTTCACCCACCTGTCGACGAGGTCTCGGTGCACCTGGTACACCTTGGCGACGTTGAGCGGCATCGGGAGGAGCGTCTGGCCGTTCATGCGGCCGCGCACCTCGTACAGGTCGCACTTGAGGCCGTACAGGTGCTTCTTGACGTCCTCGGCCACGACGGTCGGCCAGCCGCGCTGGTTCACCGGGTTCACCAGCAGCGGCATGAACACCTCGTCCACCAGCACGGCCAGCTCCTCCACGGGGCGCGGCGCCATGTCTCCGAAGATGAGCAGGTCGCGCAGGTTCTCCTTGGTCACGGGCTCCTTGCGCTTGCGGATGAAGTACGACGACTTGCCCTTGGCGTTGGTGGGGAAGCCCAGCACGGGCGTGAGCACGCCGGCGGGCGACAGCAGCATGACGAGCACGTTGGACGTGGTGCGCTCCAGGAACTCCATCACCACGAACTGCCCAGGACAATAATAACATAACACAGATGCCCACTGGTGGCCCCCTTTTTTTCTGCGTCAAAAATAATTATGCCGCATTTTTATACGCGCAACTATCAAGTGACCCGCCATGATAAATGCGATTCGAAAATTGGATTGCATCGCCCTGTCTCACGCCACACACGGCAGTGTGGTGGTGGGGTTCCTTCGTGTTTCGCGGCCGTTTCGCGGTGGTTGTGTCGGCAACAGGTCTCACGGCGGCCCCCGCGCGCGACGGACGACAGCTCGGTGACACGGTCGCGCTCATCGCCAACGCCTCCAGCGCCACAAAAACCCTCAGCCACGCTGCTGACACGTTGCGATGCTCGCCGAGACTCGTCGGTGCAACAGGTATGTCGCATGGCACACGCCACACTCTTAATCCGAGTAATTAAGGAGGCTCATCTTCGCAGCAATGTCGTTGACACTTTCAGCCCCCCCCCCCTACCCTCTTTCGATGGTTGTGTGCGGCGGGCGGGCGGCGGGGTTGAGATATCGTCTAGAAAGTACGTCCATATTTTTCTAGATTCTTTTTCAGAATCATGGCAGCTCGGCGCCTGCGACACTCGGGATAGACCACACCGCTGTACACGCGTGCACTGGAGGAAAGATCTTGCCTACCTACCAGGCGTCATAAGAGCTCACAGAGGCTGAACGTCGATAGCGTTAGGCCTATGGGCAACGGCACACCAAACTATATGAAAATCAAATTGTAACTGTATTTGGACTTAATGGGCAAATTATTACTAACTGAAACTGAAGGATGAACTTGGCAGGTTCTCAACAGCGTATGGCGAATGTACTTTATGGATGATCTCTCCATCACGCGCAACATTGATTTCTATTTGTTTAACGAATCCTGGGCCTACTAATGCCGTACTCACCCGTAGTTCCTCGTTGCTCATCATCTTGGCCCACTTCTCCTGCTTGAGGCGCAAGCTCTTCGACAAGTACTCGAAGATGAACTCGAGACGCTCGTCCTCCGACCCCCCCGGGGCTGCATCCTTCTTCGGTTCTTCGGTGTCCGCCGCCATGGTGCTGGTGGGGACTCACACGCAGGCTCCCAGACGAGCGGCTTTACCTTCTCAACCGCATCCCGTCACATGCCTAGACAAATATGAACCACTTCCAGCTAAACACTTAACTCAATTCATAACAATTGTTTTTTTTTATTTTTTAGTAATTTCAAGTATGTTCCGTTTAAATCAGTTTTCACGCATTGAAAGCAGGCATTTACCAAAAAATGACAAACAAGATCAAACATGATAACTGTGACATGTAACCAAGAATATTACAGCACGGGAGTTCTGCAGAAGACGACAGGGTTGGGGCCGATCTGCCTAAACGATAACGACATTAGCATAAGGTAAATGGTCGCGAGCACGAAAGGCGCATCCCCATTTGGTCGACCCTTGCCTACCACAAGCATGCCAAGTTTAGTCGCTCCGAATGACATGACGGAAGAATGATGGCTTACGTGCAGGCGCCTGGCACCATGGCATCCTCAGTGACGCCCTTTTATTGCTGCAAGGATGGCAAAGCCCTGTCAAACCTGACATTTACGCCAATGGTTGCCATAGCGACTTGTCAATATTCTTCTCACCCCCTTCTTACGATCCATACGAGTTGACCCACCACGACTGACCTTGTTTCTTTAAATTAATCGATGAGGTTAAAATAAGTGTAAACTAAAGTTGACGGGTTGTGATTCCTCTTCCGGTTGTAAAAGCAAAGAAAACAAAATGACACGTCGTGTACACACACACAAAAAAAACCTTATTATGGCTGATCGGACGCCATCGATGCGAATACAAGTGAGAGAGACCAACTTTTCAATTTATTGAGGCATAACACAGAGATTCGGATTTCTTTCTCACTATGTGGTAGGATTCCGAAAAAAAAAGTCATAACACTCTATCTGTATTCGTCATAATTTCAAATGCAGCGGGGCATTTGTTCGCCTTCATTTGTCTCCCGGAAGACTGCTTCAAATCCGGCTTCAGCTGTCTGCTGTGTGTTTCCACAATGTCTAACTTATTTGTCAAAGTTTTTCCTTCTTACGGTAAGCTTACGTTTGTTAAGTTTGCTAGAAATCACTGCTGTATTAAAATTGTTTCTCAGAGTTGGAGTTTTTGACGTTGTGAAGTAAATTTAATAAAGAGATTTCTAAGTTATTTTTTGAGGTTATGGCTCTCTGTGATTTGATGAAGTACTTTCGAATTTCAGGTTCTAGTTTTAGCCTCCTCCGACTGTATTCTTCCAAACCTAAACCGTACATTTACCGTAAACCTGCTAAATTTTACACTCCACATGACGTCTTTCGACAGAAGTTAGTATCTAGTATGACGGCACTTTATTGGTTCTGTTCAATTTTGTTATTTTCATTGTTTATTTTTCATTTCAGACTTGGTTTAACAAAATGGTTGAATCAGACCAAAGAACTTCAAGAATATTCAGACTATTCTTTTCAGGATGGAAGACCAACTCCAGTTACACCTGGTCAACTTAAAAAGATTCAACGACAACAAGCTTTAGCGGTGAGAGGCTTTCGTACAAAACTTCACCCCTGCTTCGCTCACTATAATTGACTAATCTCATCAAGTAACTAATTGTAAATGTTATTTTCATCCAGGCTGCTGCGGTTCTTCATTTGAAAGAAATTAAATTTATTCTTGATAGAGAAACTCATAATAAGCAAAGTGCTAGTACCGAGCGTCAACAAATAATTGAAGGCAAATTAAAACCCAAGGGGGACAAACTCTTGAAAAAGAATGCTTGAGTATAGCCCTTTAATTTAATCAGCTTATATATTATTGCAAAAGCTTTAACTTTGTAAATAAATAAATAAATAAATAGGATGGGAGCAAAGACATACTGAATTAAGGACGATCATTACTGTTAATATAACCATTTTATTTCACCATTGATGATTTGCATGATGGTCATAGATGAGTTTCACCCACTTGGAAAAGTAGGACAGTTTTATCAACTCAAATTTTAACAACACTAGCTTGCAAGTATGTGATACTAGCTGACAGGTTTTCTCACTAAAGGCTTCAGTAACTCGTAATCACCATGATAAAATAAAAGAGCTGTTTGTAAGATAATCACACAAGTTTTTACAAAACAAACAAATGTGTAAAATGTCAATCAATTATTGGGAAATAGAGATCATGAAGAAAACAAAAATGAATCTTCATCAGTCATTTCAATCACAGCACAACGTTATTCTTGCCACACCCTAGACCAAACAAAATTCAATCAATTCCTCTTCCCAAGTCATTTTAAATATTGTTTCAAAATGATACCACCAATTCCAAAATAGGCAAGTTTTTAAACAACACCAATGCAATGATATAAAGTCACACCTCATTCATACAATCCCAGATATAACAAATGCTGTATTTATAGAGTAATTCCTCTCAGGCCCAATGTTGTTTGTATGGTAACAGAAAAGTCTCGTATAACAATGGTCATACTAAGAAGAATTGACAGTGTATATATTACTACACACTTGCTACATAAATGCTCAAATCTTAACCCAAAGGTTCTACTTGATTTCTTTGGTCAAACTAAACTACGTCTTTTTGAGTTATCTATACTTCAAATATTTAGCTCCTCTCTACTTAATAACATTGCGTAATTTTAAAGTGACAACAAAATATAAATAAATAAATTAGGTTGATATTTATCCACAAATGCTAGATGCCTTAAGGAAGTAAACACTAGTTAACAGTCAGTCATCTCACAAAGAGTTTAATAAGAGTGTCACTACACAGGATTAATGTACTGAGATTTTAAATATTCAATAAAAAATTAATAACAATTAAAAAGTTGTCTAAGTCTATAATCTATATTCACAGATTCAATACTCTGGCTTATGAAACTAAAATGACACTTATGAGGGGCTCAGCCAAAATTCTGTAAGTTATTATCTATTATTATTTGTTGTTGACTGAGGTTTAATTTTATCATTTATTCTCTTTGTTCTGAACCAGTTTCAAGTCATTTGAAGAAGACAAAGACAACCCACTATCAGGAAACTTTTGAGATCCATGTAGATTAGTATCAATTCTTACATGTGGCTCAGATATGGATGATGGAGTTTTTAACTCCATAATTGGTACAAGCTGACTTTTTCTACTCTCTTTGAGATCTTCCTTTTTCTTGTCTATATAACGATCAAGTACTGGCACCTTCACAGCATCCCTAACACCTATTGAAATTGGATTGTTTTCTCCAGTAAATGATTGAGAAATAACATTTTGATCAGGTATTGATGAATCACTTTTAGAATCCTCACTCTTATGGTCATGTGAATTCGTGTCTTTTTCCTTCGGTTTACATTCCTTTAACACTTCCTCTGTAGAAACCTTTGATTGATCTAAGTTTCCCAAGTCTTTGGCTTGCCCTAGAAACCCTAGCCCATTGCTATTACCTTGCTCTGATTTTTCAGCATCTAAGTCTCTCTTTTCTCGATCTAAGTGGTGTGGTTCAGATTCCAATATGTCCCGTGCAGCAGCCTTAGAATCAATCTGCTTAGATGCTATGTTCAATGATGGAACTGGTGAGGATACCTTTGCACTGTAAGCAAGAGGCAAAGGCACAACTGGAATAGAACCTGCTCTCCCCAAAATTGATTTCTTGGGCAAGGGTAGATTATCTGAAAATTATTAAATATTTTGTAATCAAAACTCTTATAAAAATAATAAAATAAATAAACAAACAAAATTAATACACATCTTGTACCTTTTACAGGATTCCCAGGTACCTGTAGTGCTTCTTCGCTTTTCCTAATTTTAAACTTGTCAAAGGTTGGTGAATTCTTCAAACCTTCTAAAGGATTTCCAGGTACCTGAGGAGCCTCTTTATTTTCTTCAGTTTTAGACTGTTTTAGAGAGGCCACATTCTTGTCTTCAGTTTTTTGTATTATCGAAACTTTAGAATTGCCCTGTTCCTCTACCATTGATTTAGCCTGGCCGGCCTGACCACTCTCACTCTTTATGGGATTTAATTTTGCCAACACTTGTTCTTTGTCAAAAGAATCCTTAACAATTTCATTCAAATTTTGCTGGTGAACCTGCTCATGCTTTTTGAGCTCTTTCAGGATTCTCTGCTGCTCATTCAGCATATCCCTTTGAACTTCTTGGTGTTCTTGAAGAGTTTTGATAAGTTTTTGCTCCTCTGCTTTTTTCTTACGTTCCTCAACTTCATTCAACTTCTTATCAACTTTATCCGAAACAGTCTTGCTTTTTTCGTCCCTGGCCTCAAGCGCTGACTCTGCATCTTCATGGCGAATCGCATCTAGATTTACTTGCTCAGCATTACCAGCTGAGGCTGATTTGCTTTTCTGAGAATTCAATTGGTCATTCGTTTTCATTTCTGTTTTAGTTTGTTTAGGTACATTTATAACACTTTCACTACTTGGTACAGGGGCAGGTATAATGGGTACTATGGGCAAGGCACTAACTGGCTTAGCTACTGCCTCAACGGGCTCTGGCGGCTCTTGTTGTTTTTCACCAGTGTCTGCTGGGACAGGCGGTTCTTGAAGTTTATCACTAGCTTGAACAAGTTTTGCACCAACTTTGTCCATTGAGTTGGAATTTTCCACTAATTTCGATGAGGCTGAATTAACTTCACCAGTCTTAGTAAGAGATGACTTTTCAATGTTCATTGCAATTTTGCCGAAGTCATCAAGGCTTTTAGGATGTTTATGCCTCACTATTCTGTCAGAAGTCTCTATTAGTTTTTTGATTTTCTCTTCACTGGGAAGCGGGTGAAATGCAATGCTTTCTGGAGACTGCTCATTTAGACGATCAACAGCATGATCTAAAATGCGATTGGCAGCTGTAATCAAAGACAGATATACAATGAAAATTTGATTGGATTAAATCTTTTCTAAGCAATGGACTAAACACAACATACCTTGTTCTAGTCCAGGATCTGTCCCATTTGTTTGTCCATTCAGAATGTGAGCATAAGTTCCCAAAATCATAATTATAGCTCCAGACCACAAAATTATCTACAAGATGAAATAAATTAGATTTTTCAAAATAAATTTAAATTAAAAATTAGAAGACTGAAAACAGTTTTTAACCAGCAGTACCTGACTAAGAAGTCTATCTTTAGAGTGACGTGCAGTGTTCCCAAGAAGAAGAGATGGAGTTATGATGCAAATTGTGACTCCAATCGTTGAACCAATGATTCCAAGAACTCTTTCTATATTTGGGAGCATAAGCCCTAGTAACAGTGAGATCCCTACTATACAGAAAGTGAGAAGTTTAAATCTGCCTTCTGGTACATGAGAGGTGCCAATATCATGTAAAGGAGGTTGGGCCTAAAATGTTTGGAAACAATCATGAGAAAATTAAGTGACAAAATAATAAAACCAAGGCACTTACATTTTAAGGTTGACTTTACTTACACTCCTATAGAGAAGAGAGTACAAACTTGCTCTACATGGAAAGATAACTAAAGGAAAGCTGACTGCTATAGAAAGTAGAAATCCTAATTTTATAACTTCACTGCTTATGTTCTCAGATAGGCTGACTAAAATATTGCCTGGAAAAGAGAAAAAATGTAGATGTACCAATTGAACTGGAAGAACTTCAAACTTTCTGCATCACTGAGCACCATAATGTGACTTTACCTGTAATATTCTCTTTGCTAAACGCCACATAGCCAAAGAAGCCAACGGATATGTAAACAGCAGTGCACAGATTGATTGCAACACGAACAACAGAGTTTAACTTATCAAGGGCAACATTGGGTACTGTGTTAAAAATTTCAAATAATTGTCTGAAAATGTCAGAAAAATCTCAATAGATATTGTTTTCACTACTAAAATAGTTTTTATTTGTGACAGTGTTGCTACTCACGTTTGGCAAAACAGAGCCATAGAGAAAATTGGTGAGCACTGCAAAATTCCTTCTGGTCTCCAAAAATTGACATCATTAAGCCACGTGCCCATAACCAAGGGTCCAGCAGCTTCTCCCATAACTTTTAGTACCAAGCACAGATAGAATGCAAAGGTAGCAGTGCAGATGGAACTTAAACTATCAACATTCCGAAGGAGACCGAGAGGGAGTACAACAAAAAATGCGACACCTAGAAAAAAATTGAAAATTACTGTAATAAGTCATATGTGTAAAAATTGAAAATACTAAATGAAAAAAAATAAAATAAAACACCTGGGTACAAAGACCCTAAAGATTTTAACCTTCTAAAACAAGACTCACCAACTAAAATGCTAGTCCTTAAAGTATCAGTTCTATGAAGTCCCATAACAGAGGAGACAATGTCAGGACCCAAATCGCCCATGACAACAAAAAAGGCTATACATGTCCCTAAAAGAAAACCTATGATAGCAAGTTCAACTCCTAGCTTGCCAGATGAGCCAAACACATGAAAAGCTGCAGAAACAATAAAAAACAACATGTAAAATCACACAATACATCAACAGTACTTGAAAGATTGAGAAAAATATAAAATATCTCTTCAAACCTAGAAATTCGTAATTTTTTCTTCTGGTTATAACAGCAGACTTTAACAAAAAATGACAGGCAAAACGGGAAAGTATACTACTTAAACACAGTAGTAAAATGGAAAGAATGATGCCGCACTGTGGATTTGAATAAAAAGTTAGCATTGCAGCGGTGGCACAGTCTACAAAAATTAGAGTAGTTCTAAAAGGTGGTACGTACCTGCTTGAAACAGAATGGCATTGCAAGAATACTAACACCAATTATGCTGTTACATAAAGTCATTACTTGCCCTGTATTTGTACCCATTGTGACTGAAAATCAAGATAGGCATATGTGGTGAAGCGGTCCAAAATTGGTAACAAGAAAGACAAAGAAACAAAAGAATAATCAACTTCTTACCTGAAATGAGCTTTCTAAACGAAGCAAATACAAAAATAGATAGGTTGATCTTAAGGAAGTTGTCTTTCTCTATCTGTAACAAAAAGGCACAAAATTTAAGAAAAATCTTTGACCTAGAATTTTTCTTATAGGAGGAGTCAGACTAATGGCCGTAGCTTAGAAGAAGATCATGGTATAATAAAAAAGAAATGTATCAGCAAATTAACAAATCTAGTCGTGTGTCAAGTCTACAGCTGGAGGAAAACATGGTTCTTAGAAACACCAAACAAACAATCATAACCTTTATTACAATGGTTGGTGGTTTCGGTCGTTTCTTATAATAGCGGCACCATTAAGAAATCAACAAAGACAACATGATTTTTTCAATGAACTGGAAGCATTTTGGGCCATTATTAATTCACAAAATCAAAAATACCTCTTTCAAGCCCAAACTGCCACCTGTCAACCTTTTGTCGAGCAGAACGTTTGCAAACACGCAGACGAAATTTTTCATATCCCCACTCTTGACCCTCTTGACTTGTTGTTGTTGTGTTGTGATGCAAACGGTGGACCGGTGGACGATGTCGGTGCCAATTTTTAAACTGTTTGATCTCTGTTCTCTAGTCACTCTTGTTTAAATTTAAAACTCACCATGGAAATTAGTCTCAGCAAACCTCAAAAAAGTGCTGTGAAAGTCCCATTGGGCCGTATTTTAGTTAACAAAAGATGGAGAGGGAGTTTACTGTGCAAAGAGCTCGACTCAGCTGGTGAGTAGTTTAACTCCAGAGACGTCCTGTATTTTAAACAATTGACTGGTTTGTACTGATTAACCCTTGTTACAGATAGTAAAGTTGCATACAGTGACGGTTTGGGGTTTGTGGACTTTTTCCCGTCAGACTCCTGTGCCGTTATTTATATTACAGAGGCAGAGCTACTAACTCCGAAATCTTTCACGGAAAGAATTAATTTGCTAGCTAAGGTCTGTTTTTAGCTTTGCTTTTGAATTTTTTTAACTACCTTGCATAATTTCAAATGTACTTTTTTTTCAGGAATATCACAATCGTGGAGTGGTAATTGTGGATGTTTGCCGGTCAACAAGTTATCAAGATTTCCAAGACTTAGCTTGTATAGAGTTAGAACTGACTGTGTATCCTGTATCTCAGCAAAATGAAATTCCTCGTATATTACGTGCATTGGTATGTCTTGAGAAGTACTTTTTGTAAACAGGCATGTTGAAACATATTAATTAATTGTAGTTCTTATTTTCTTAGACTTATGCAGAAACAAGACAGACAAATAATCCATTCAAGAATTCTGTAGAAGAAGAAACGGGATTGGAGAAACAACAAATGTCGCTTTTGAAGCTTATTCCAAGTGTAGGAGAAAAGGCAGCTCTAAAGTTGCTGAAGTCTTATGGACACATCTCAGCAATTTCTAAGTTGTCAGAGGAGAGACTTGCCTGCAAAATAGGTAAAGCTGACGCAGCTAAAGTGTACAATTTTTTTCGTCACCGTGTTGTGCTGTGATATATTTTTTCCTTAAATGTATGCACATAGTGTATGTGCCCTTTTAGGGAAGACGATATGATAAAATGACAGACTTTATATGACGAGTCACATCACACTAAGATTGTAATAATGTAAATTGGACCAATTTTTTCGTTGAATAACTAACACTAAACAATATTTAAATTTTATAATTTTATTTGTGTTTTTTCTTCTATAAGTTAGTAAAAACGTTTCCTATAGTTATCACCAGCCGTTACCGGTCCCATAGCTGCCACCATAAGCTCCGCCATAAGACTTTGATACCTGTAGGCAATGGAAACGCAAGATTACAAAGCAGCATGCAGTGAGTCAGATGTAGAACACTCAATCCAGTTCTGCCTGCGCTCTTACCAGGTTAGAGTTAGAGTAGGATGAGGCGAGTGGTTTGTGAAGCGATGGTCCAGCGGGCCAGGCTGAGTTGGACGGAGACGCGGCCCACGGGCCGGCTGATGCGGCCCCACTGAACCCTGCCCCCGGCCAGGCGGACGGCCCAGCAGCTGCGCCTGCCCCAAAGCCAACCCCGGGCCAGGCGCCCGCTGCAGCACCTGCAGAGGGCCAGGAGCCGCCCACAACACCCGCAGGAGGCCAGGCACTACCGGCAGAGGGCCAGGCGTTACCGGCAGAAGGCCAGGCGCCACCTGCAGAGGGCCAGGCGCCTGCTGCGCCACCTGCACCTGCGGGCCAGGCCGGCCCCTGCTGCAGAGCGCCCTGCTGCCAGTCCCCTACGCCCCCGTGGGCTCCGGCCGGGGGCCAGTAGCCGTAGCCGGAGCGGGCCGTGTAGCTGGAGCCGCCGGTGGAGTGCGTCACCTTGCTGCCGTATCCAGTGGGCGTGACCCACGTCGAGCCGTGGCCGAGGCCGCCGCCGTAGCCGCCTCCATGGCCGCCACCGTGCCCGTAACCACCCCCGTAGCCGCCTCCGTAGCCGTGTAGTCCGTGGCCATGCTGCTCGTAGCCGCCGCCACCGCCGTAGCTGCTGAAGCCGTAGGTGGTGCCGTGTGCGCCGTGGATGCCGCCGCCGTGGAGGCTGCCGCCATGGAGGCCGCCGCTGTGACCGCCGAGGTGTCCGCCGGACACGGCCGCCACCCCCAACACCAACGAGCAGAGCACCTGCGGGGTATTCACAGGTAAGTCTCGAGGCCTGCCTCGGCCTGAAGACAATGACCTAAGGGTACTCACTAGCTTGAGCATGGTGAGCGACGCAGCGGGCTGTTGGTTCTAGTCGCGGCGCCAAGAGAGATAGAGGTGAAGTGCCGTTAGTTTTGGGCACTCGAACTATTTATACCTGGCCCGCCATTCCCAGCCGAGCCCTGCGAGGACCACCTCCAATTACTCCGGCGGGGGTGGGAGCCGCGGGCTGGGATCCCCACCCCCCACCGGGGACCGCGTCGCGAGCTGGGCCTGCCCTGGCCCTGCCCTGCCCTGGGCACCCTGGGCCTGCCGCGGCGCACGCCCTCCCCTGGCCCTTCGGACGTTTTTATAGGGCTGGCGAATTAAGCTGCAATGAATTGATCGTTTGTGTAAACGACAAAGACTGTAGTTTCACCCGCTGTTTTGCCCTTGTCGCGGATCTGTCTTTGACAATCATCGCTATGCGATCCCTCGCATATTTGGTGTCGGTGCGGACAGTTAAGACTTAAGCTTTCCTGAGCGGGGCGTCCTGGTACCGGGCACCGGCCAGCTTAGCTTGTGCCTTTTGGTTGGCTGTGCCCTCCACCTCTGCACCACCCCTCCCTCCCCGCAATATCGGATCAAGCAGCTCCGCGTAGCGCCGCGCTTAGTTGCCCCATCAGGCCGAGCGATGCAGATGGCTGATGCCCGATAATGTTTAAGGACCTCCAGCCTCCCGGCTCGTCCCCCCCCCCTCCCCCTCATCCTGCCCGTTTTGCAGTGCGACATCGCCCCGCAGAGCGCGACCTCAGTCAAGCAGACTGCTGCACCTTGACACTGCCTCCCGCCCTCCCTCCCCTCGTCCCCTGCCCCGCCCCCATCCTGGCCTTCCCGATCGCCCGACTTAGTGCACGCCAAGCTGTAAAGTAGCTGTTGCCGCGCGAGTGACTTTTCACACATAACTCGCTGACGGTCGCTGATGTGTACGACGCCGGGAGGGCGCGGGCGCGGAGAAACGCCGTAAAAACAACTACCCAACTGTTCTGTTGCTTCACTTCGGCCACCGTGCCTAGGAATTTACTCACAGTCAAAAGATGCAGAACGCGAACCTGGAGCAGCCTGCGGTCGCTGCCCTGCTGGAAGGCTGGCGCTGGCGCTTAGAACGGTCCTTACGATACGGCCCGTTTGGTCGTTGAGAATACCGCTCGGAACGAACAGAAACGAGTTCGGCGACCGTGCGCTTTCTTTTATTTAACACGGGACAGCATGGCCCACCTACCTGCAAAAAAGGGTCAAATGTAATACCATCTGACAGTCTGTAAATAGACTGGTGTGAGTTTGATACGCTCTTGGTCATCGTGTGGGCAGACAGTACCGACGGACCCCAGAGTAAGCGAACGAAGCGTCGTATATATGCGTAGAAGAGCATGACGAGTTATCAGCGAGAGCTGGCTGGAGGTCCGTCCGTCAGTGGGCGCCACCGTACAGCGGCGGCGGCGAAGATCCCTGGCCCGATTTTCAGGCGGCTCACGGGCGCCTGGACGAGGCACACGAAGCGAGGCGCCCGTAGTCAGAGGCCGGCCCGTTAAGCGCAGGTGTCGAGCGGGGTTGCCTATCGCGGGATTGCAGGCGCTATAGGACGGTCAAACGTCGTCTCACCGTAGGCGAAGTCTCAACACGTCCCCGACTTCTGAATTTTATTGATTAAAGTATACAGTGTATTGGGATTCTTACTTTGACTTTAGAATAGCGGTTCTCGTGGTGTGTACCACGATTAGAGAGAGACGTTCCCGCATTCCCCCCACTTTTATTCCTTCAATTTCATTTCATATACATCTGGTGGCCGTGGTGCACGACCACTGATTTGAATGCTCTCCAACTCATAGAGGCTATGTTTCTTGCGCCAGCTTTGGCACGTGGCTGCACTTCACTCCATCCGCCGAAAGTCCGCCAAAAGCGCGGCGGGCCGCCTCCCGTGCATGCGCGTGCGGCCGTGCGGTATGCGGCCCCGCGGCACGGCACCCGGCAGAGCGGCAGAGCGGCAATCTGGCGCTACCCTTGGCCACCCTGCACCAACATCAATGACTACAGGATGTGGTGTCCGCCGAGGGCCGACTAGGACGTGACCACAAGAGGTGGTAGCCGGGGTGTGTCAAAGACTTCAAATAATTTGCGATAACAATTGTTTTCGAACCTCCTTTTATTTTTATTTCTTGTCGGCGTGTTCAAAAGTGATGTTTCGCAATCGACACGGGTAACCTTTGGCCTGTAGTCGCCGCACAGACGCCGCCCGCGTTGACCGCGTGGGTTGGTTCAAAGGCGCCGCGCGTGTCCGTGGTCGTATGGTCCTGATGCGTTGGTTGGAGGGGCCTTTGCTGTTGTCGTCGGCGTGGTCCTCGAAGGGTCAGTCGGTTGAGTTTACCAGCCGCCGTGGCCGTAGCCGTAGCCACCGTATCCGTAAGCGCTGCCGTAGCCCAGACCGTAGACGGGCTTGGCCACCTGGAACGATTCGGGTATTAATTCGACGACCTCCGACGAGCGAGAATGATAGCCGAGGGGCGGCGGGGCCGTACCTTGTACACGCTCTGGTAAGACGTGGCGCCGTGTCCCAGTCCGTAGCCGCCGTAGCCGTAACCGCCGTACGCACCGTAGCCGTAGCTGGGGGCCTGCACAAAAGTTCGACAGTAGAGTACCCTGATTTTGAGGAAGAGAGGAGACTCGACTACACTGGCCGCACTGGCACGGTGGAATGGACTCACCTTCACGACGGAGGCGTAGGAGGTTGCCAGGGGCGCTGTCACGATGGGGACGGTCTTGACGACGGGGCTGTACGCGTAGCTGGGCCAGCCTCCGTAGCCGCTGTAGCCCCCGTAGCCGCTGTAGCCGCCGTAACCGCCCCAGCCGCCGTAGCCGCCGTAGCCGCCGTTACCCCAGGCGGTGCTGGAGTAGACCACGGGGCTGCCGTAGTAGGTGGGGGAGGGCACGGGGGAGGCCGCGGCCGCCGCCACCAGCAGGAGGATCGCCACCTGCGCCGACAACGAAGCGTACCCGCATGTAGACCATGGCGATCGCGGGGGAGCAGAGTAGAGCGACGGGCACCGCCAGGCCCAGGACCCCGCCGCGGGTCCACTTACCAGCTTCATGTTTGGCTTCTGAGGGGAGCTGGTCTGCTGCTAGCTCTGAGGACTCGCTCGGACTGTGCCATTGTGGTTGCCTGGATGGGTATTTATACGAATCCCAGGAAAAAACTATAACTGGCATAATTTTCCCCTCCATGGTGGTGGTCATGGAGTAGTGCGGAGGGGGCGGGGAGGGGGAGTGGCCGCCGGTGTCTTCCTGTCGGCGCGCCGGTGCACGCACCTACCTCGCACCTCGCCGGGCCGGGCGGGGCATCCTCGGCCGCCTCGGGCTCGGCCAGCCTCCCGGCCCCCGGCCCGGCGGCTCCGCGGCTCCTGGTCAGCACCGGCAGCGGACAAAGGCGGAGCCGGGGCGACAGACTAGCAATTGCCTGCGGGAACTTCCTCCATTTGCTCCGAACGATAAAAGTTAGTTCCAGTTAGGGCCTTTGTTCAAGTTCAAGCCAGTGGAGCTCGGTAGTCGTAGGATATAATTGTTTATAATGTATTCAAAAGCGATGTCACAAGTGTAGTAGAATACAGAGATTTCCGGGTCATTGTCACAACTGCAGCATTCGGTTTTCCGCGCATTTTGCTCAATGTTTCTGTTGTATTCTAGTGTGTATTTTATCTATTTTAGGGCGTGTGCGACCTGTACAACCATCTGCACCGCAGCGCCACTCGCTCTGCTCCTTGACGCTACTTTCGGTAAAATAGTTCTACTCAGTTTTACTCCAGTGGCGCCCCCCCTTTTTTCCAGCCCAAAGCGCATCCTCTGCGCTATTTGGTGACTGGTGACAAAATTGTTGCAGTAGCGCTGTCTGCGATGCTGCCGCACCGAGACAGCGGTGTCGCTGGGCAAGCAAAACTTGCACTTCGCCTCTCGCAGCACAGCAACGGCTGGTTCCGCCCCACCCCGCCCGCCACACCCACCGCCAGGCCACGCCACGCATGAGCCGGCGAGCCGTGAGTAAAAGTGCAGTTCGCGGTCAAGGTCCCCCCACTGCTCTCTTGCCGTTATGAGTCTCCGAGGTTCCTTCTTTCAAAATCTTAGTGCAGACACCTCATGATCTTATGGTCTTTTTGAAGTAATTTTACAATACTTGTGTTCAACATTCTGTAAGTTCGCGGCTCAGTCGAGACGGCAAACAGGCGGGCCCGTCAGATTCTCCTATCGCCATTTATCGGTTTTACTGCATTAAAGACGTTGCAGTCGCCCCCGCCGTGTCTACTGGTGATGGCGCTGATCGCGCTGATGGTCGCCTGACGCCTTCCCCTCGGATTGCGCGTCGGCCTGCGTGCAGCGCGTGTGGTCAGCTCCTCCCACGTCGCGTCGTGACTGGTTCAGTTATGATCGGATGTGTCTCTCGGCCGAGACGAGCCTCTGGATGAATAGCGGCGAATGAATGTGGCGAGCCGCGTTGTAGCGATAGTAATTACCGACTGAGACCCCCCCCCCCCCCGGGGTAGCTGGCGGCAGTCTCAGCGGGCAGTGTTGCGGGATTGTATTCATACTCGCCATGCCGCTTACCACAATCCGAAATTCACCCTGCACCAAGTAAGAAAGCGTTGTGACGAGTAAATGTTCTTGCAGGTTTCAAACGTTTTTAATCGGTGCATGCGTGGTGCCTTCGGGCCGGAGTGAGTAGGCAGACCCGCAGCACTGCGTGTGTGTTCTACAGGACATCCGGTATTCCACTACAGTACGATCCTGGATGGGATGGGGCACTTGTTCGCTTTCGGCTCACTTGGCTGGCTAGGGTCCTGGAGTCTGGAGTGTGTGGAACACCTGGAGACCACCCTTCCGCTGCTGGAAGCTTCATAGCTTTGCACTGCTTTGACGGCTGGATCAAGGCTGGAGGGCGTTACTGCCGCGCCCGCTTCGTATTGGCTACGCCGCCAGTCGACCGGTGGACGAGCCCCCACGACTCGCCGCTCCCGTCCCCTCCCCTCTCGGAGGTACTTTCAGCGCACACACAACTAGTACTCCGTCCACTGACTGGCTCCCTGCGAGTGACGCAGCAACTATTTATTTTTTAAATCGAGTAGAAATGTGTAGTGATAGCTGGTAAGCAGGAGCAAGGCGCGGTACAGTGAGGGCGGGGGGAGAGGGGGGGGGGGTCACCCCCTGCCGCCCCTGGAAAGGTAGACAATTCGTTCTATAATAAACCTGCATATTATTGCATTCGAACTCCGGTAATCGTCGGAGCTGCAGGTCAGCTGGTGGGGGTAAACAGTGGCAGGTGGCAGAGGGCGGAAAGGGGAGGTCACGAGGATAGCTCCGTCGTCTCTCGAGATATTTCCCCCTGTTTCAGTCCTGCTACCGAAATCCCACATCGACCAAACACGACCCACACGCTCGCCTGGACCGGGCCGAGGGCACCGTGACCACCAAAGTACGGCCTTGGCAAAGTGCGCCATCAACAATGTTTTCATAATTTTAAAGTCTGCAACAGGCTATGCCTTCCGGGGGAACCAAGGCTCGCGCGGCCTCCACCCGCCAGCGTCCTCCTGGAGTAGCAACGGGACCCGGGACTCGGACCCCCCTCAAGGACGGCCGCACGGCGCCGTCGGAGGAGAGGAGTGGAGAAATAAAATGATCTCCTGGCACTTGTGTGCATTTGTTACAATCTTTACGGCGGGGCAGGCTGGACCCGTGCGTCGGTTGCCATGCCGCGGGCTGCCGCTATGCCCCGCCCCCCAGGCCGGCCGCTAAAGTAAAGCGCTTCTAGATGGTCTTTAGCCCGCAATGCGAGTGGAGGCGGTTGGGCTGCCTACCTCCACGGCGGCAGTACGGCGGGTGAGTGCACACCAGGTTGGTTCTTCGCTCCGAGTCGAGCTGCCTGCTTTATGAGGAGGGGCACAGGGCGCACTACTGAAGTACACGACTTACGGCAAACGCTCCATTCCATTCCGTGAACAGTTTTTATTCACACTTATCAATTTAATACATAAATATTATTGTCTTATCTTTGAACTCGCATATCGCGGTTTAATCTCTGATCTCCTCGGTTTGCGGACGGGATATGCAGGGCAGAGGCGTGATTGAGTTTGAGCTGGAGCAGCAGGGGAAGGCGAGGGTTTGGTGAGATGACTAGTGCTGTCGGACTTTGGCGCCAGCCCGGCCTGGGCGGGAGTGCGACGAGCGAACAGGAGCCGCCGCAGGCGTCAGGGGCCGATGTCCGGCGGGACTCCACGTCGGAGGACATCAGGGAGAGGAGTCCTGGGGACCGATCTGCCCCCGCTGGTCTCCTGCGCCACGCCGCGGGACGCGCCCCGAGCGGCGTGGCGCGGAGTGGTGCGGCGGGCGCGTGCGGCTCGCGTCCCGCGGCCGGCGGGCGCTAGCCGTCTAGTAGTGTCCGCCGTAGGACGCGTAGCTCGAGGCGGCGATACCGTGGCCGTGGCCGTAGCCGAGGCCACCGCCGTAGATGGCGGGGCTGCCGACGAGGCCGTGCCCGACGCTGACGCCGGGGCTGCTGGTGATGAGGCCGTGCCCGACGCCGAGCGCGTGGCTGCTGACGAGGCTATGGCCGTAGCTGACGGCAGGGCTGCCGACGAGGCCGTGCCCGACGCCGCCGAGGAGGCCGCCGTGACCGGAGACGTCCACGTAGCCGCCGTGGCCAGCGTAGCCGTAGTGCGCCGCGTAGCCGTAAGGCACGTCCTCCTAGAACCGCAGATAACACGTCAACAAAAGCAGTGGATTTTCTTTCAGAGTGCTGGCATGAAATGAATAATGAGAAGATGACTTATTTGTTTCGAAACTTTCCCTAGCCATGTTTTTTTTTTTTAGCGTTGCAGCGCTGAAACTATCTCGCTGCCCTCTCAAGCCCGGGCCGCGGTCTTACGCGGGCGTTGCCCCGGACAGACCTTCCACCCTCCCTTCCGTCGCCACCCCATCCCGTAGAGTGAGCGAGGGGGTGGGGCCCCACAGGGGGTGCGTGGCCGTGGCCCCACTTCGGCACAACCGTTCGCTCGGACCACCTCCTCGGCAGCGAGCACGCCTGGTGCGCCGTTCCCAGAAATAGCGATTTCAGGGGGAGCTCGGGAGACGTCCCCGGGGCCTCCGGTGGGTGAGGGGAGCTGAGGGGGGCGCAGTGCGGCCCGGAAAATGGAGCAACGGGGGATCTGCTCCCAGAAATAGCGCAGCGCTACCAGCTGGGGGGTTGAGTGGTGGGAGGAAGTCGTCCTGGGTGGGGGGCACATTTGGCGGGGGGCAGTCGCGTTGCGGAAGGGGGCGCTGCCCGGAGGTGGCCCCTCAGTGTGGGTGGTGCTGTCGGCCCGTTGGGGCGCAGTTCTAGCGCAGTCTGGGCAGCGGGACTCACCTTGTGCACGCTCTGGTAGGACACGGAGTGCGGCCCCTTGACCACGGAGGTGTAGCCGTGCGCCTTGGCGCCGGGCCCCTTGCCCGTGTTGTACCCGTAGGAGCTGCCGTACGCCACCGAGCCGTCGTACAGGCTGTGGCCCACGTGCCCGTAGCTGGCGTACGTGAGGGGGCCCTTGAGGGCGCTGCCGTACGAGTACACGTCGGTGGGGAGGATGGCGGGGGCGCCGGTGAGGACGTGGCCGTCTGACACAAGGTGCGGGTCGGCGATCACGGCGGAGTGGCCGTGGCCCAGGTCATGGCCGAGCTCGATGCTGGGGGTCGCCGCCACAGCCACGGACGCCACGGGAGCGTCGATCACCTTCTCTGCGTACGCGACGGGGCTAGCGTACGCCACGGGGCTGGGGCCATGGGAGACCGGGATGTGGTCGTAGGACACTGGGCCGTGGTCGTACGACACGGGGCCGTGTTCGTAGGACACCGGACCGTGTCCGTAGGACACGGGGCTGTGGTCGTACGACACGGGGCTGGCGTAGGAGACGGGGCTGGCCTGCACCTCGCCGCTGTAGACGACGGGGGAGGCGGCCTTGGCGTACACCACGGGGCTCACGTCGTGCCGGATCTCGGGGGCGCTGGCGTACACCACGGGCGACTTGGCGTAGCCGATGGCGGGCGCCTTCTCGATGTACGTCACGGCCGGCTCCTTGATGTAGGCGTGTGCGTCCGGCACGGCGTACTGGAGGCCGGCGTCCACGATGCGAGCGGCGCCGCCGTGCGAGAGGCCGTGGGCCCCGGGGCCGAGGAGGTCGTAACCGTCATGGCCCAGGCTGTCGTAGCCGTCCAGGTAGCCGGGGAGGGCGGACAGCGGGGGGCCCGCCAGGCACGCCGTCGCAGACAGCAGCAGCAGCAGCACCTGTGGGCAGCGGGGAGGGTTAGTACACTTTGGCGACCTTGCATGTGCGGCGGGCACGCTCCCCGTACTCAGGCAGGATGCTGCCGGCTCCACCCGCCGCGCAACGTGCAGCCTCCGCGTCCGCCCCACGAACGCAGCGGTGGGCGCCGGCGCTGGGCGGGGCGGGGCGGGGCCGGGCGGGGCCCGGAGGGAAGTGGGAGGCTTGACCTTGGCAATGCAGGAGGCGCGAAACAATGTTGCCAGCCGCGAGAGTAAAACCCGGTGCACGCGGGGCTCCCGCGGCTCCACGCCGTTGCACCACCTGCTCGCTCGGCTCCACTCACTGTCCCTGGGCGCGTCTCGATAACCGTACCAGAGCAGCCCCCCCCCCTCCCCCCGTCGGGGGGTCTCATGGTTTATGAGACAGGTGGTTGGTCGCGGTAGCGGCGGCGGCGGCGGCAGCAGCCGGTCCGGTGTAAAAGGAGCTCGGCCAATAGCGCCGCTTAAAGTCGCTCACTTTGTTCTCTCGCTCGGGTGACCTCTGCAGTGCAGTCCAGTGCAACGAGCGCACCCATCTTATTAGGCCCACTTCCATTAAGCGAAGGACGCGCACCTCCAAGAAGCCGCGAGCCACGCCGCGCCGTCCTGCCACTCAGCTGCCACGCCCCATCCCCTTGTCGGCCGCAGCTGCAGCTGCCCCCCCCCCTACCCTCTCCTCTCCCGCTGCTCCTGCCGTACCGAGAAATGTTAATGGCAGCCTACCGTACGCGTGTCTGCGCGGCGCTCGCACCGCGTTGCCCGATATTCGCAAGGTCACCGCGCGCTTTTCTGCTTTTCTCGGGTTTCGTAATTGGAGGAGGCGGCCGGTCATGCTCTGGATCTGGAGCGGGACGCGCCACACTCCGCGAGGCTAGAGCGAGTGTCGTACGTATGCGCGCTCCAAGGCAGGGGCCGCGCGCAGGAGGCCAGGCCGTTTCCGAACCGAGCCGGATGTCATCGAGCCGGAGTGAGCGGAGTACGGTCGCCAGCGAGTGACCGTCGCGTGGGTCGCTATAACGGCTGTGGAGGAAAGGGGGGGGGGGAGCGCGAGAAGACGGGGTGTGGTCATTACGTCAACCAACGATTACACTCGATTAACACCACTATGATTAGCGAAAATGTCACATGTACGCAAACGCATTTTAATAATGACAAAACCTTGGCAATAATACAAATGAAATTCCCCCAACACACGAACACGCGGAGCGTTCTGACTGAAGCAATTTAACTTATTTCAAATCAGCAAGTGACTTTAACGGTACCGAGCACACATCGTATTACAGTATTCATATTTAATGCGAGTTTTGTTGTTGTAGACAACTATCTATAAAGTTTTAGATACTAATAACGAATGTCTTTACCAAAAATCACTTTCCTGGCAAGTGTGTAACCTCGGTTGACCCCTGTATCTTATAGAACGTTTTTAACAACAGCATGCTGGTGCAATCAAACTGATCAAATATGTTTGTTAATATTCTTTCTAACAATTCATTTCATTTTTTTTTGGTGCATTTGGGACTAGGACAACTTTTTACAGTGCTTCGAAGTATTTTTAACTTCACTGACAACAAAAGTGTGCAAATGGCATGCCCATGACATTGTCCAACGCCATGGTACACACGTTTAGGTGCTGGACTGAAAATTTGTATAGTTACAAGTGTTAAACAGTAAATTTGAACACTTTAGGGTTGTCCTAAGCTGCATGATAACCAGGCCAACCCTGCAGTTGAACATCTTTAAGTCTTTTACTTTACTCTGAAACTTTTTCTGTGTTAAAATACCCAGTCAGACACTTAAAAATGTGCAAAACGTAGTTTTGACCAATTTCATGTGCACGCCAGTTGCACACTTTCTTCTTTGATGTTATTTTCTTAGCAACGGACAAAACTGTATATCTACTTAGTTACGTAAAATTATGGACGATTCCGACAGTAGGCACATAATCGATCGTTTCCCGGTAGACTGTAGATAACTTCGTAACAACCATTCAAAACACACACTTCATTTCGCGTGACATTTCTTCAGATTATCCGCGATGCCGAGCAGCCTTATAATGACACGATTGACAATAAGTGATTGCGCTAATAATTGATTCACAATAAATCGTCTGCTTCGCGACCCCGTAAAGAAACACCAATAATGTCAGCCCAGCACGTCAGGAACGCACACACACACAAACTTCTATGGCACTTTTCCGTTACACTTTGACACTTCGCTTCACTTTGCCGCTCGCACTGGCGAACACACACTGCTACACACACACACACACACGGCCCTCACCACTTGGTTCGTCATGTTGGGGCTGCTCCTCGTTCACTAACGGCCGCGCCACCGCTCCCCCCGTATTTATACTCACAACAAGAAATTTCTCAAACTCACCCGGCCGGCCACCGGGCACTCCAGTCCTGGCGGGGTGCGCGCGGCGCCGGGGGAGGAGGGGCGTGGCGCGGCGGGGTGGGGTGCAGTTACTCCCTCCATACTCGGCGCTGCCCACGGAGCAGACCTAGGCGTAGTAGGCGCAGCAGGGGGCCGCTCAAAAATTGCGCACAGAATGATGCATTGTTTACATTCATCATCAAAGGGCAGATTTTGTGTACAAAAACTAAGCTTACACAAAAGTTAGATTTGCCGTACAAGTAACTTTAGTGCTGTCAGAAGTAACGTAAAGTACGTTTACATTCGAGTTCTTTGCAAAAATTGCGCCACTCCCTACAAAGGTACTTTGTTAGAGTCCGGTCCCTATCAGTATCGGGGGCTCCCGCAGGCGCGCCGACCGTCCGGCGACCAAGCTCGGGTTTCAGACCGGGTGAAGCAAGTCCTTTAGGATCAGTCAGCCCGTGTATCCTCACTACTCGGCCTCTTCGCTCGCTGGCTTGTACTACCGGCAACAACGCTCATGGTTGTGAAATCAAATCGGCATGAAGGAATTTAAGCCGGCAGTGACATGAACATGATCGGAGACATGACTGTAAAGAATGCCGTTTGAATCGAGTTGACTTACTACAGTCTGCTTCCCCGAGCTGTGCCCGGCCCCACGCGTGTCAGGCGGTGCTGCCCACCCACGCCTCTGCAGGCGCCTCAGAGTAGGCCTCCCGCTCAGAACGCGTGTCTGACGGCACTGCCCACCCACGCCTCAGCAGGCGCTTTAGAGTAGGCCTCCCGCTCAGCACGGGTGTCTGACGGCACTGCCCACCCTCGCCTCTTCAGGCGCCTCAGAGAAGGCCTCCCGCTCAGCACGCGTGTCTGACGGCACTGCCCACCCTCGCCTCTTCAGGCGCCTCAGAGTAGGCCTCCCGCTCAGCACGCGTGTCTGACGGCACTGCCCACCCTCGCCTCTGCAGGCGCCTCAGAGTAGGCCTCCCGCTCAGCACGCGTGTCTGA